ACGTGCTGTATTCCGACAGATCTGGGGAAGGTGATGACTGTTCTGCCGGGACTGTGGAATCCATCTAAAAATAAAAACTGACTGAATAAAGAAAATAATTTAGCGCCGTTCGGCTTTTTTTTTCGGCTAGGAAGGGTATTTTGCACTTCTGCTAGTTCTTTTGCTAGTTCATATTAACTAACAGGTCTTGCTCTGTTGAAAACATGTAAAGTCTTGTGAAGCTGCGGAGTGCAACAAGGAGTCACTCTGATCACGGGAATTTACAAGTCGTGAACTGGGAGTTCCGCTGCGTACCTCTAGTTGCGTCCTCCAAGCCGAACGGCGCTTTATGGTTCTATTCCGGGCTCAGTGAAAAGTAATCTACGCTAGAATATAGCTCTTAGACTTTCCTTGTCTTTTCAGAAAAGTGTACGGCTTGATGAAACGTACCCCCAAAGTGAATGTGACGGCATGGAAGTCGCGGTACGAACTGTCATGCACGATGTGTTCTATGTCCTCTTGGAATGGGATGTTCGTTATGTGAATCTCCGTTGGACGGACACTTGAATCCGATTCTGAAATTGTGTAGCGATTTATGTAAGGTAATTTAGTGGAGATCTGGTCTTCATTTCGCCAAAAACCCCTTCTAGAATTGTTCATTAAATTCATTACCTTCAGGTAAAACTGTCATCGTCGACTCAATCTTACAGATGCCTGCTGAGTTCTTTGCTTCGCATGTGAACACACCATTCCATCGTTCGGTACAATTGGAAATCTCCAAGAAACTCACACCGTCCTCGTACACGATGTTCAAAACATTTCTGTAACACTTAATTAAAGTCCACATCACAGCGCAGGAGAGGGCGTGTCCACGGATACAGTTGCGAGGGTGGCGGCGTCTGCTTATCTGTGGAATGTTGCCGGTCCAAGGTACAGCATCGAACTTGGGACTTCGGAGGGGGGGGGGAGGAGGGTTGGGAGGGGGGTAGGAAGTCATATTTGTCCTTGACTGGGAATTTTCAGTAGCTGTAAAACGTTTTTCGACTATTTTCTTATTAAGATTTTCCCGTTTCACATGTGCTACATATCCCTCCTTTTCCTTGGTTGGTGCTACCGCGAGGGCACGTCGTAAGTTAGCGATACCAACGAGGAGGTTGCTCCTGGTCGCCGGAGGGAGGGAAGGGGGGGGGGGCTGCGTCGTACTTTGCCCTCGAGAGAAAGACTCTCAGTTGTTGACCCCTCTCGGTTTTCGCATTCCAAAAAGGCCATGTGGCTCCTCGCCCTCTCTTATCCCCGTTTCACGGCACGGCATATTGAGGAAAAGATGAGGAAAAAAACAGAGCTGACAAAAGCTAGGAAGATGGCGGGTAGGTTGTGCGATGGCAAGGGGAGTCGTACCGGAGAAGGAAATTTCAAGGGGGATCGTAATTTGCCGAATTTGCACGCTGCTGCACCCTGTGCCGATCGAGGGTGGAGAGGCGAGTGATGCAGTGAGTGCGTATATCACGCCAATGATTTGAGGCAGAATTCAGACTTTGCGATGCGCGGGTCGACGCGTTACAATTGCAGCAAGGCTCCAACACTATAGGACGCGGCCGCAGTCGGTAATCGATCGGCGCCGACCGCTTGAGCTTTGAGAGGGTATGGCGGAACAGGAGGGTACGCGTTGCCCAATCTGCAATCTAGTATCGATTAGCACTGGCCCTTAAGAGTGTTCAGAAGAATAGGAGTATACCAGATTGCGTGAATGTAGCGCTTACTCCCTGTCATCCTATACTCTCTCAAACACAAGCGGCCAGCTACGATCGATTGCCGTCTGCGGCTGCGTTCGCCTCCATAAAATTGGAGCGCTGTTGCAGTTGTAGCGCGTCGACGCGAGTTTCAGCACGTCGACGCGCGTCATCGCGAACTCTTGACGTCGTTTAAGCGTCTCTGCCGTCCCTATTTTGAACTGGCAAAATTCCACAGGTAGGCGGCTGACGCCGAGCTTGAATTACGTCCGAGGGTACGCCGTCTCCAGGCTATGCTACTAAGAGTTTCGTTTTGGTAGAATAAATTCTTCAGTAAATATCAATGTAACGTTGTTCTTAGTTTTCTTTGCTTTAAAGAAAAACGTCATGTTTATAAAAAAACAGATTGGGCCATGTCCGGAAGTCTAAGCTGCGTTCTTTTTGGAAGTACATGCGAATGCGCAACACGCGTGCCAATACCGTGGCAAGACGCGGGCGGTTGCGTAGCGTACTGCGAGGACAGAAAGTGATCTGAGCGATGTGGTGACATTACTGTGGCTTCAGGACTAACCAATTACATAAAATAAGCTCAGAAGCTGTATGTGATAAAATAGCGTACTTGATTGAGCTGAGGACATTGCCGTTGTGGTACCATACGACTTGTGGCAATGGCACACCCGTCACGACCACCTTCAGCAGAACTCGTGTGTTTTGCCGGACTTCGTACGATGGTTGCAGCAGTGAAACGAACTGTGGTGGAGTGTAAAGGCAACTGCTCGAAATTGACGTCAACGTGTCGTCTATGGTGGATGCTTCTGAAAACGGGAACTTTTGAATACGTTCTGAAACGGCCGCGGCGACTTTTCTCTTGGAAACGACCTAAAGGCATAGTTCGGCTTGGTAGGGGCACCAAATTGAACTCAATGAGACCTGTGCAGGTCACTTTGTGAAGAACTGTGAATTTTTGTGAGCAACGTGGCTCATTAAGCAGTTCCGCAGCTTCACAAAAGTGCACATGTCCAAGCAAAATGAGACCTGCTAGTTAGGGGGAGCCATCAAAGAGAACTAATAGTGCAAAAGGTCCCTCCTAAGCCGAACAGCGAAAACCTAAGTGATTAATGTTAGTCATAGAGCTTTACTTACCATCGTCATCAAACATGATCTGCGACAGGATGACTTCTGAGGATTCTGTTTGTGTTGCATGGCTGTATTCCACGTTTAGGTGTACTTCTTGAGTGGGAATGAGATCGGCTTCCTGATCGAACGTCAGGAAGACGGTCAGTTTGCACTTCCTTGCCCGTGCTAGGGAATGTTCCACACCCATGTGGGAACCCTCTCGATCGAACTGTAATAGAACAGAGATGTCTTCTGATTGAGCTGTCACGACTTCTGGTGCAAGCTGGGCTGATACAAAAGCAACGTCTTCTGGCTGTACTGTGGTGGTTTCTGGTACAGGCTGAGGTGCTTCTTCATGAGGGATCACCACAGTCTCCAGGGTCTCGGTATCTGTTTGTACGAGAGTTGCATCACTTCCCGTATCGAGCAATTTCTCACTCGGAACTTCTTCCTCTCCAGCCTTTGGGAGGATTTGCTCTGATTCTTCTTGAACTGGAGCTTCTTCGACTTTCTCAGAACTGTACATTGGGACTCTTGGCTCTACTTTCTCTTTTCTGGGGATTTCTTCAAACTCTGCGGGAGATGGCTCTTGGACGGGCGCTTTTTCTTCTGGCGTCTCTTTGCGGACCTCTTCAAATTCATCTGTTTTTTCAGGCTCCTTCAACGTAGGAACATGTATTTCCATTGTTGAAACCTCAGTCATCGCTCTTTCGATTGATTCCTCAACCAACGTGCGAACGAATTCAAAGTCTTCTGGGCTCAAGTCCGCCAAGGTGGTCTCCTCTTCAGGTAGTTCATCCGGCGTCGGTGATTCCTCATCAGTCATCAATTCTATGCAGATTTCAGGTACTTTATCGAAAGTGTCGGATGTCGGTGTGGTGGCATCACTTGGAGGTAACACTTTTGGTATCGCTGGCACTTTGCGCTCTTCCTTCTCTATCTGATCAACCTCAATGAAAGCATCTGCGAGCAGTTTCTCCGTCATTTCCATCGCCACAGCGGCGGCTGCTTCCAGAGCTGCTTCATCAATTTTCTCATAGTCGAGTTCGATATCTTTCTCCGACATTCGTTCTTCTTCCTCTCTTATATGGATCTCTTTCTGCAGCCTCTCAAATTCCATCACGGGAAATTCACCAACGGTTTCCTTTTGAGCGCTTTCATGGATCAGTTGAACCACTTCTCTGCCAGCGAAGTCTGCCGCGTCTATGAATTCAAAGCCATGTTCTGAAAAGCAAAACGATTTTGTTGGGATATTTTTGAAGAACAGAAAATTTCACAAAATTCAATTGACCCAAAATCTCAAAAAAAGTTAGAAGCTCGGAGTTCAGCCTTGCTTGCTGAACTTGTTCAACCTACGGCTATCACACATTGTGAATCGCGTGACACACACGGTGTGTCATACATCTTCTGCACCGTGAAGCTGAGTGACACACATAGGGTGTCATGCCAGATTTGCATAACAAAAAAACGTGGTCACATGTGAGCGCTAAGCGAAGTAGAGTAAGTGCGAAACGATTTGAATAGGCAGCCAGTCGACCCCGAAATGACCTTGTATTCTCCATGGAAGACGGACAAGACAATCGTTAATTGTGGCGTCGTCGCGCGCGGCATATCGTGCGGCGATGCGCAGCAAACCCTCGATGTTTATTAGTTTGTCAATTGCAGCAGCGGAATTCGTATGAATTCAAGCGGAGACAAGATTTCATGACGGACTTTAATTAAATCTTTCCTTCGCTGAAACGCTCGAATTTTTAGACAGGACAACTCGTCCATGCGCGCAGCCCCGCTCGCGACTTCCCTATAGTACGATTGTCTTGTCACTTACCCTTTTTCATCACAATCGTTTAACGCACCCAGGTTACTTAGAGTTTTCACATCGAAAACAAAATTCACTTTTAGCGCCAGCGCCAGTGATAGCCTCAAACTGGCACTAGATTGGTGCCTGATACCAGCTGGAAGCCGCAATTTTTTTCACCAAGTTGGGTACCATTTACCCTTTACAGCCCCAACCATCCAGAATTGAGCCAGTTTTCGCCGATCTTTTTCTCCGTGGACAGATTTGGCTCAAATGTTGTATCTTGGGCCTCGTGAGTTTGACCTCGTGAATACCAGTATCACATTCGCTTAGTCCGAAACTTCCCGCGCCACAGGCGCCGGTGATTCAGGGTATTTTGGCGCCGGCGCCTGTGGCGCGGGCGCCAGGAGGTTTC